ATCGTTTCCTGCGCCGCTACCGTTACGAAACTAGAGGCGATTACCCTTACCACCACGACTGCGTCCACGACCACGACCGCGACATGGCCACAGCCATTCTCCTGAGTAGGCTCCGTCCCATGGTCACTATCATACACCTTGTGGCCAAATGGCGAGCCACTTAAATGCATCGCGCTTTCTGGACCTGGCTGTCGAAACGAACCAAATCTGCTCGAACCGACCGGCCGTAACCATATCTGGATCAAGCCTCTAGTTTCTCCCAGATCTTTGGGTACTCTGGCTGATCTGGCGACAAATCTCCACCGCATTCCATCATTCCTACCAGCCCTGTCGAACACAGAAAGTGCAGCAACTCTGACCTGATACACACGGCCATTAGCCAGTCTCAGGCCGGCATCAATCTGGTTCTGTGCCTCCTTTCTGTATATCTCCTGCGGGAACCATCTGGCCAGGTCCTCCAGCAACTGTGTTGGTGTTGCGTAACGGCGCCTGCCGACGGTCTCATAGGCAACCCCAGAAAGCTTGCGCTGCAGGCACTGGACGATGATGTAGTCAGGGTAGCCTTCAAGAAAATCATGTACGTAGGCGGGCATAATACCGAGCCAGCTCTCGGATGACATGCCGTCGAGTTTGCCAGAGAATGCCGGTGCTAGCCTAAAAAAGTTCAGAATATCGCGTGGATATTTCATTTTCGAGTTGTCGTAGTCACAGTTGGTCTTGAAGAAAGGCTGAATGGTGAGTGACAAGAAAGATGTGAGCTTGATGGTCCAGGTCGTACCAGGGCAGGCTGGGTGCCGCTTGGAGGTTTTATAGCCTCACCCCCGCTGTCTGGCTGGCCAGTCGACGGAAGCCTCCACGTTACTTTGCTGTGTCGCTCATGCCGAGCCTATTTTAGCCGCAGTTTGGTAAGCTCGCCTTTGGTTGCATGTGCGGCATATCACCTTGTCTGAGCTTTTATTCACTGAGCTTAGACCAACAATATCATTACGATGTCTCAAAGAACGAGACAAGGTTCTTGACCGACTTGGCTGGCCGGCCTGCTGCAGGCTTGCCTGCTAGCGGCGACCCAGGCGGCTTGTTCAGGAATGCTGCCCGGTTCTTTAGCACCGCGATGTGCCCAGTGGGCTCTTGGGCTGCCTGGCGAGTCTGGCGTATTCAAAACAGGTGTGCTTTTCTTTTTCTTCAGCCGTGCGCGCACCTCAGCTAGCGGATCAGCTGCCGCAGACTCTGTCTTTTCTACGGGAGGCTTCGGGCTGGAGTGTCCGGAGCTGGCCGCGGACGACAGGTTGGGTGTAGAGGCGGTCGATCTGGGGCTGCTGGTAGACATCGACTTGGGTGCCAGCACTGACTTTGGCTCAACCTTTGGCTCAACCTTTGGTCTTCCTTGGCCACGAGCGTTGCCTCAGCCTTGGGGACTTCAGGGGTTGCCTCAGCCTTGGGGACTTCAGGAGTTGCTTGGATCTTGGGCGCTTCGGGTACTGCTTCAACCTTGAGCACTTCGGGTTCTGCTTCAGCCTTGGGTGCAGACACCGCCTCCGCCTCTCCCTCTAGCACGCTTGGCTCATCAGCAACAACAGCAGCAGCAGATTCGGCTGGTGGCGTGGTAGCAGTCGTGTGGGCAAAAGTGCGTGGAGGCTTCAGTGGCGCGGCCGCAACCGCAGGCAGCTCGGATGCAGCGACAGGATCAGCAGCCGGCAGTGAATCAGCCGACGCAGGGGTATGGCCAACCGGCGTTGAGCCATGCTCAGCAGCAGCCGCTGACAGCACGGGGCTGACAGCCGGCTTTGCAAACTTGGCCATGGCGACCGACTTGACCTTGTCGAACAGCCCGCTGGCTTTGGGCTTGGCAGCCTGGGGCTCGCTCTGGCGAATCGCGTTCTGCTGCTCCTCCCGCAGCAGGCGGTCGTTGGTCATCTCCAGCACCTGGTCGATCTTGGTCAAATCAACCTTTCCGTCCATGCCAGCCTCGCTCGGTGCCTGCCACTTTTCCTGCTCGTTCAGCAGCTCGCGGTTGTACATGTCCATCTTTTGCAGCAGATCCTCCATTTCATTGTCTGACAGAACCCGCATCCCGTCGTCGACGTCCTCGGGCAGGAGCTCAGCCGTTGCAGCCAATGCGGCGTTGTTCGAAATGTACATCGACCGGCGGTTGTTTTGGGCTACAAGTTTCTTGCGGTTGCGGTCGCCTGCCCGGCGCACCAGCTCGTCAATATCGAGCTGCGTGTCAACAGGCAGCACATCCGCCTCCTCGGGCACCGCAGCGAGTGCTGGAGGTGGCTGGGTGGGCGGCTGGGTGGGCGGCTGGGTTGCCCACAGGTCTGATTTAGCCGCCGGTGTGGTTGGTGTGAGCTGTTTGTTGTACTCCTCCATACGACTCCAGCATATCGTCGAGGGTACTGGCTGGCATCGACTTCCAGCTGTTTCTGCGCCTCCTCCGAGGGCTTCGTCGACTTGTAGTAGTTTTTCAGGGTTCTGGATAAACCGATGTGCGCTGCTTTGCATACTGCGCCTTGGCATTGAACAGCTGGTCGTCGAACAATGTGCTGTAGCGGTTGCTGTCGCCCTCCAGCTTGTCCCATGTCATGTCGTAGATGGACTTTACACGGGCCTTCGGCTGTGGCACAGCCGACTTGTTCATGTCGCTCTCGCCCAGGTCCATGTCCTGGTATGCTTCTAGAATGGTCGATAGCCGAAGCGAATTGTTGCTTTGCGCACCGATGCTCTGCCGCACATCCCACCCATTGTGTGAAGTGTCGAATGCATCGTCAAGGTTGTTGCTGGGTGACACGCCAAACTGCGCGTCACTCGGCATTGTCTGCAGCTGCTGCTGCCCTTGTCGCAACAGTGTGTCCATGGACAATGGCGACGCTATGGCGTCGTCCGGAGCACCCAGCGATTTTCTTGAAACGGGAGGCGACGCCAGCTGCACGGTCTGAGCGCCATGGCTTGGAGATTGTTTGCGGCCAGCCCGCTGCCAGCGGACTGCGGCGGAGGAGTAAGGCTGGGTGAACAAAACTTTGGCAGATCGGTGGCTGCCCTGACTGCGCCACAGCTTCTGCATGCGGCGTCCCACGCACATTGTCGGCTGGCATTGGGTGTGGCCACATCGCTGAAGGCCGACGCCGGGCTGGAGGCGACGCTGGTGCGCTGGCTGGGCTTGCGCCGCACCATTGATGTCCGCCGCGTCGACCCAAACACAGCGCCCTCGACAAAGTCCATCGACAGGCTCTCCAGGCCGTCCAATGTTGTGTGTGCACTAACCGGCAACGTGTCCCTGCTTTCCTTACCCGGCCCTGATGTGCGCTCCGTCTTGCTGTAGATACCCAGGCCGCTGGTGGTCTCCTGGTGGTTTACCGGCGTTGTCGGCTGGCTCATTGACATGTGAGACGGGTACGGTGAAACATAGTCCATCTTTGACTTGAAGCCAACCTTGCTTGCACTGTAGAGGCGTGCCGGCTTTGGGGGTGGTGTTGCCGCATCGAATGCAGCTGATTTGGCACTCGGTAGCGCCGATACGGCAGCTCCTATCGCATCGGGCTTCTTTGTCGGCCGCCCACGGCGCATCGGCACAATCGCATCCGAGTCCAGCTCGGTAATCGCGTTCTGGTCCGCAAAAGTCGTCGCAGCTGGCGTCTGCTTCGCCGCATACCGCTTTGGTTGATGCTGCGCGGGAGTCCCCTGACCTTGAGCTGTTATTCGATATGCTGTGCATCATAGATGTTCCAGCCGGCGACGATGGAGGGCTAGCATAGATGTCTTCAAGCATACACTGCTCGCCGCGCAGTCCGCATACATATGCACACAGCGTGTAGATTGTGCAGCGCTCGCGCGGCTCCTCCCGCATGGTGATCTGGAAAATGTGCTTCAGCTGCTTCGAGTACGATGGCCGTTCTGGGATCGAGTACTCGGCATTCAGGATAGCCAGAGGAGATGCATTGTCAAACGGTGTGCAGTAGTAGCACAGCTTATACAGAAGCACGCCCAGTGCCCAGATGTCTGCCTTTTCAGTGATGCCGCGCTGCAAATACAGGTCGATCATCTCGGGCGCGCGGTATTCTAGCGTTGTGTACCGCTGGATTTCTTCTTCCAGCGCCACGACCTGGATCACGCGCCACGCGTCTGTCGGGTTGCACCAGCTGGTCTGTGGCCGATCCAAAGTCGCACAGCTTGTAGTCGCTGTCGCCAACCAAGATATTCTCCACTTTCAAATCGCGGTGCAGCACAGGTGGCCGCTGGTAGTGCATGTGCGCGACGGCCTTACATGCGTCGCCAATATGTGCAGAATTGTCTTTTCGTCCAAGTGCCGCGGCAGGTGGTTGTTTATCAGCCCAAGAATATCACCGTGGCACTGGTCCATCAGCAGAAGGCGCCTGCCCGTCGCCAATCTCCGCGTCATCGAGCGCTACAATGTTTGCGTGTCCCGAGAGTTGACGCTACAAACAACGGTGTCTGTTAGCAACGAGTGCTTTCTCGGCCTCCTCCCCCGGCACTGCGGACCGTAGGATGTGCTGCTGTATTGTTTTCGCGTTATTTTGGAAACAGCCCAATAAATTACAGCCTGCAGAGAATGTTGTTTTGGTTGGTGATGGCCAACAGAGTTTTTCTATTTCCGTTTTCGTCCCACTGCAAATCACAACCTGCTCTTTGTCGCGCTTCTTTCGGCGCATTCGTCTGTCCTTACCATGAGCTGAATCTCCTTCTCGACGCGCTGTCTGTGCTCGGGCTCGTCGTGCGCAAACTTTATGTGCTTGAGGACCTTTGTCGTCCCCGTGCTGATCATTGTTACCAGGTATACATTGGCATGGCCACCTAGGTATACCAGTTGTGAGAATGTGCAAGGGTGGTGAGCATGAGCAAGGGTTCGCAACTCGGGCCTGGGTGTTTGAACGCTCCCTTCGCAAAGGAAGCTGTGATTGTGCACTGCCGATCTCTGGGCTGTCTGGTACTGGTACCTTCAGAGAGGAACTGCTTCACCGGCGCACGACTGCTGCCCAACTTGGAGCATCGTGCCCTGGGCAAGCACACCGCCTGCGGTTGCTGCTGCTGCTGCGCCATTGCTATCTGCGTTTTGCGCTGGGTCACTCCAGGACCCGGCGCTCTCGTAATTGTGAAGCATCCGAAATGTTTACTGTAAAGTTACAAGGAGAGCAAAACTGTGGAATAAAAGGCTAGGCGTGAGACCAAAAAGGGAGAGAAACGCTGAAGAATACTGGAAACTGGCGAATCAAGCGCAGAAATAGCTGTGCTGGAGCTTAAAAAGGCGCAGACCACTCAGAAGCCGGACCACAAAGAAGGCATGCCCAGAGTTTTTTCCTCGGAGTCGAGTCGACTGCGAGGGCGATCATCCTGCTCCACACAAATTGCTCGAGGAGCCGAGCCGCCGCTTGCTGCTGATAGCAGTGGCACATAAAACAACAACGCCATCTCGGTATCAAGATCGTGACTGGATCGCCAGAGGTGCTGGCACTGCGTAAACGCAGGCCCTGGAAATACCCGCCGGGTTGTTTTTGTGATCCAGCTTCGTTCCGTGGAGCTCATGCCGGCTATAAAATCCCACCGGCAATGGCACAATGAACACCATCGGGCCTTTACTTGGTCTTTCGATACGCTATTCCTTGGGCCGGAAGATAGATACTGCATCGGCTACAATGCAAAAAAAACGATGTAGCGCCAGAACCTGGGTGTTCGGGTACACTTTTGCAGTCTATCATCCGAGGGACAGCTCGGCAAATGTCTTCAATGATATCAGTAACCGAAATAGGGGGCGGGACAGCGTGACATAGCACTATTTAGCCCAACAGGCATATACAGACACCGAACGACACTGAACGTGGACGATATACTAAATTGAGAGGGACTAGCTAGCTGACTCCCCTTAGCACTTGAACGTGGGGAGAGCCATTTGCAAGTGTAGTAGAATATTGAGGGGAGGGGGTGTTTGCGAACAATCAGCCCGGAATGGGCTCGGAGCTTTTTTACCCATTGGTAACTGCGACGTGAGCCCCTTACAAAATAAAAAAGTGGTGCCATTCCCGTATAACTTGACACACTTGCAGAAATCAAGAAGCCAAGCGCTATTCATTGGGAGATTCTAACTGAAACTGGAAAGCACAATGCCTGGCTGTGTTAATGGTGGTTGTTTTGGAATCTCGCTCAAATGTGCGCTCATGCCGGACAAGCGCCGCAAGAGTAGGTTCTTTCTTCTCTATTCATCCACCCTATACTGGCCGCCTCCGCCGCTTACGTTGATGTTTTGCCGTTCCGCCAGCATTTGGTGTACCAATCCACAAGAGAGAAATCAGCAGGTTGTGGTGCCGCGTTTGGCGATAGATGGGGATGGACTCAACTGCCGAATCGGCATCTAAAAATACAGGCAACACTCAATAGCAGTTTTGCATCATTTTGGAGGAGATGCGGGGGCCGCGCTATTGGCGGGCACCCTGTATTCAGATGTTGTCATTGAGTTTTTGCAATGAAAATCGCATTTGGGCTGAGAAAGTGGGCAGTGGGAGCATTCCAAGTTGGCCTTCAATAAGACAGTCCGCTATTAGCACCACAGTAACATCCTTCGCAGTTATTTTGCCACCCCCGAAACAGGATTGGACCCCTCTCCCCAGTCACCTATTCAGCTTGGGAGTCTAGCAGGTACACCAATGTGAAGGAATACCACCTCCAAGCTATCCGCTGTGATTTGTTTCTATTACTGGGCGAGTGCGACCGTTGACTGCCTCACATTCAGTGCAACGAGGTGTTTTCACAGTGGATCAAATCACCTATTTGTGTAGATTCCCAAGCTGAACGGTGTCTGTCCATGTGCTCACCCCAATCACCAAAATTCCGGCGTGTTGCACGCCCGACCTAAATTGCTCATAAGCAAAACCTGTTTTAGATGGTGGCCAACATAGGCATACCACCATTATAAAAAGAAAAAATGCCATTGGATGGATGCACATGTGCATTCAGAACGGCCTGGCACAGATTGGATGGCCAAAGGCAACAGCAGCGAGAAACACTAGGTCTGTTTTGGTTTTTCCGCCAAAAATTCACTTAATATATGTATGGATAGGCACAGCTTTGGTATGTCCCGTGCCAACGAATAGGGGAGAAATGGACCGCTTTTTGGGGCAGTGAGACAGGAAACTATATGAGCGTTTGGTACTCCATTTATGTAGGTGTGCAGACAAGTGCATATCCGCTTTCCCAACTACATATTTGTCGGCTAGTTTGGCAGCAACGCCAGCACCAACCAGCTTTTGTGTCTGAGCACCTCGACAGGGCGGGGGAGGCTTGGGAAGAGAAAGCATCGTTAAGCCTGCCAATTGAGGAGAACCACACAAGAGCCAAAGGGCGCGGCTCAACGGGAGACAATCAATAGCTGCAATGTAGGCATAGAACTTGAGCCATTGTCACTCGTGGTTCCTTTTTGTCGCAAATCATGTGGAATCCGACAATTGCGCCTGCAGGCGTTTGGGGGGTGGGGGTGGAGGCAGGCGAGAGGAACAGAGGTAGTGTGCCATAGTTTGCAAGGTCTTCTTACAACCGCGTGCCAATAAACAGCAGAAGAGAAATAAAGGATTCACGCATCATTCTATATTTATTTGCGTCCACGGGTATATTGACAAGGCGGTGTGTCATTGTGCTATGCAAGCTGAATGCGTCGTGAGTGCCATTTAGGTTCCTACACGGCTCTTGCCCGAGCGAGCAGGCGGGCGAGCAGGCAGGCAAGCGGGTGGGCGGACAGACGAGCTGGCGAAAAAAAAAAAAGCTCACGCCAGCCCCATTGTCAGGACCTGTTCCCTACATCATTTCCTTAGCGGGAAGAAGGCGATAGTGGATTGTGAGAGGCGCATGCTCGGCAAAAAAGGTCATAAAGTCTGCGCGTATTATGAGGGATCTGGAAAGCGCACACCGCAGATCATGGTCACTCAGCAAAAATTTTGTGCTCAGATCGCCATATGCATAGCCGAACACCATGTCACTATTTCGTCCTTGCCCTTTCTCGGCTAGCTAGGGTATGTGGAGGTCGTGGTGCCAGCATGGAGCAAAAGGCTCGGTCTTTTCTATTTCCAGCGACTGCGCACAAAAGGGAGGGGGTTAGGAAATGGACAGTAGAGCTGGTTCTATTCTTCATAAGCTATTGCCGAGAGACATGTGGGGAAGGGGCGGGAGCACGACATGTAAGAATTCAAGGGGCAAGGCTATGCAGGCCCGGCTTATCTCTCTGGGCCATGCATTTTTCACCTACCCCATGTTGAAAAGGCACGGCGCTTCCTCAAACCATGTCACAGTTGGAAATCAAAGCACTAGGGCATGTACCCAACAGTAAGCCGCAATTAGCAGTTACGTGGAGGTTCAGCGCTGTTCGTTTGGAAAGTGAAGGGGCAAGGCATGCACTGCTGGGCCGATATGCTTGGCGTTTCTCCAGAATCCCACGTATCTACACCCTTATTCTTCCCTTACGGAGAGGGGATATATGTGAGAGGTAAAATAGAATACCCGGAAGCTGGTCGTCTTGGGCCAATGGCGAGAAAAAGTCAGTAGGAGACGGGAAACGGCAAAGGTTCGGAGACGATTTCTAGGCCCGGCCGTGCTACTAGGCTGCGCTGAAACGTTTTGCTCGCTGGCTCTATGCAATTCTCGTCCCCCGTTTTCTAGTGTACCGCCCAATTGAACCCTGGTGCTCGCATATCGATTCCAGCGTATATCATTTTTGCCGACGGCAACAGTAGCTAGCCGAGGATGAGTAGCTCGTCGGGAATCTCCTTTCCCGTGAAGGTGCCGGAGCTTTGGCATAAAAGCAATGTATCCCGATTTTCAGCAAAACAGCCTTTGCTGGGCTGATGCTGTGCGTATGTGCAATGTGGATGTTATTATCTGAGCCTTGCGCAATGGAATAATGCGCATTCGCCGCCGACGGCAAGCATCCGGAAATACTCAGCTGAGTGAATCGGTATATCTGTGGTTGTCGATATACGACTAAAAATATCACCCGAGAGCGATTGTCGGCTTGTCTGGGCACCATTGCTTTCGCCACCTGGGCCAGCGAACCACCAGGTCATCAGCCAGGCTTGCTGGAACTCGCGGCCGGCACCAAGGTGGCTTTCCAAGCGGTTCATTCACATACACAATATGCATAGCTCCTGTACCGTTTCCTTCACTCTACTGCCTTTGTAATCAAGCCGAACCCGCAACAAGAGGCAAAATGGAAATCAAGCATACCTGATGTCTCCTGCGTGAACCGCAATTCTCAGATGGGCTTAGCAGAGGGCATTTTCCAGCACATAGCGTTCTGTCGAGTTCTTTTTCCGGCCGCAGCTTAATACTGGCTGTTGCTGATGCACTGCGATCTTAAATGCCGACATGGAGCAGGCTCTTTCTGCCAAAGCTGCTGCTGCGAAGAAACATTGGCAAGCGTGCACCATGCACAGCGCAAGTGATGCGGCATCGATGGGGGAGGGGCATGGCCAGAACACGGCCCCTGGGATTTTTCATCGTTATTTTCCGAGTGGGCCGCCAGAAGGAATTAAAAACATCCCAGTCGCCTGCTGAAACAAAAAGAAACGGCATCTGTGAGAAGAGGGCGGGTTGAGAGCCCGGGTTTGTTAGGTGGGGGCCAGCTGCCGCATGCCTGCCGCCCACTCCCGACTTTTGTTTTGCTGTCAGGATTTATTGGGCAGGGGGTGTGCGGGGGGAGGGTGGGCACCCGGCATGCTCCGCCTACTGCCCTGATTGCCGAGTGTGGTGGCCAACAGTGGGCAGAGCCGGTATTTCTCTCCTTGCCCCCTTGGCTGTAGCCGTTTCGCATTCCGCTCCAAAGGCTTTCCGACTCGTATGTCTATTCATATGCAAGTGATGAATAAATAGGCAGCATACCGCCGTCTCTCCACCCGCCTTTTCCATCAGCTTCACCCAAGCACCCTCAAACATCCCCCAACCGCCCCTCTGCTCTCATTATTTTTCGTTTCGTCTGTACAGGCAACGTCATCAGCTTGCCTTACTGCCTCGCTTCTCATACACAGCCAGCACATTTTTCCCAACCCTTGCTGCTACCTGCCTACAGCAGCACAAAAAGAAGGCGTGCTCGCAAACATTCACAGCCTTGCCAGCCTTCGCTACTCTTTCATACTGCCACCCCTCCGCTGGAAGAATCATAAATAGTCGTCTACAGCTCTCCCTTGCTCAACCCCCCAACGCTTTAGCATAAAAAGGGTGCCAACCTTGAACGCCTCCCATTGCAGTGTATCTTCCTCTCTCTCACTCGCTCGTCATTTTATAGTGCTCAGATCTTGGTTCTGCATTTCACTATTTTCTTGCATATTTCGCCTGCAGAGGCGCTCCATTATCACGGATATATAAACTGGCCTTAGCCTGCCCCTGGCTCTCGCTTTCTCCTTCCTTTCCTTACCCCCTCAGTCCCAGTCTTATTGCGCCGAGCTCTTTTAGCAGCTGTATATATCAATACTTATCCTCCATGAACACATACACCTCTCCTCTGTACCTGGCTCCTCGCAAGTCCACTCGCACACTCATCCGCAGTCGCCTGCCCTCGATCTCGAGCCAGACGTACATTACCGCTCTCGCTCTCCCCTCACCGCCACCGTCGCCAGCCAACGAGTCGCTTATGCAGCAGTCGATGCTGTCGACGACATTTGCTCTCCCCTCGTTCTCGGAAGTCAAGCTGATTGACAGCCACCAAAGCAAACTATCGCTTGCCAGCGACAGTGAGAGCGAGGTCGACGACAAGACCCTTGACGGGGACTGGGAGGCGGACTGTCCTGAATTCGATGGCGTGTTTGAGATGGAGCTGGACACCGAATGCCCTCATCAGCCGATGACTGCAGGTCCCCGGCCCTGGAGAGTGCGGCCTGAGCGTGTGTACAACTCGCTGAGGGCACAGATCCAGGCCATCGACGCTGATGACAACGAATTCTGCGTCATGTAAATGAACCATGCCCACCAAAAGAAGCTGCCCTCGTGCACCCAACCCCAATCGACGAGCCGCGCTCCCCTCAAGATACAAAAATGCCGAGCATACATGCTGTTCCGGCTCTCCTTTGCACATTATTTTTCTTCTCCCTTTCTGCATCGCCGTCCTTGTTGCAAATCCTCTTCTGCCAAGGTGCTGCACTATTTTTTGGTGATCCACTTTACATTCCTGTGTATATAAAATAAATATTTTTGGACATACATTCGCAATTACCGTCATGTACTCAGGGCACATGATTTATATGAACACTGGTAGGTGGCCAATACGACATGGCAATTAATTGGGTGCTGTGTGCCTTTTTTTACCGCTTTCCTTTTGCTCATGTGCCGCAACCCGATGTTTTTGTGCTGAGTATCTTCCATTGCATATTGCGTCTTTTTCTCTCCCCCTTTTTTCATGTCGGCAAGCAGCACGCCGATGCATTCTTTTGGGGATGGTGGTTGTGGAGGGCATGTGCGTGGTCGTGTGCACCAAGGAGAAGATCCCAAGCAAGGGAGCGGGATTTTGTCGTCTCCCAAGCACGGCATATCCGCAGTAGGATGAGTACATGCCATCCAGGCCGTCGTCTGTTGGTCCCATTCCAGCCATTATCGCCCCAAGCCCGTTCCCTTGGCTATATGGCCATTTTTAATATTTGATGGCGTCGTCCCTCGGCTCCCTGTTTTTCCCGCCCACCACGAAATTAACGGTTGAGAAGTTGGTTTCGTGATTTCCCCTCTTGGCAGCACTTGGCCGCAGCAGCGTGCTGCTTAATACCGTCAATTGCACATTCATGCCAGCAAGGTTAAATCATTAGTGTTTTGTAGCATCCCAAGATGAAAGATTAGGTAGTCTGACAGCAGGAAGGATAATAGCCGAGCGAGCAAGCGAGAGAGGCTTAGACATAATGGTCTGTCCCCTCCCGCTAACAATATGCTTCGTCGATAAAATACTGGCCAGAACAAACAATGCTGCGCCTAATAATAGCATCAGTCGATAACTGCGGGCTCATTCTGCATGTTGGTGTGTACGAGCCAGCATTCTGCGAATAGCACGTATCGCCTCCTGGGCATACTCGACATGGCACCCAGGACGCACCCACTGGCCTCTGATCTTGATCACGATATTTGCCCCCATTATGTCTGGGAGTGTGTTCACCCTAAGCTGGCCGTTGCGTTGGTCATTGATAATCCGGAACTTTTGTGCCCACCAGATATTACCGAAACCCATCCCCCACATCTTGAGCTCGTACCACTGGACATTAGCCTCGCTCGCTGTCTGCACAGTCTCAATCTTGCCCCACGGAATAAATTTGGACATTGGGATTGGGAAGTAGTACCTCTTAATTGTCAGCCCCTCTTGGGATACTTGCAAATCACTATCTTCGTAGAGTACATGAGGATTGAGCTCTGCAGTAACGTTTCTCTCTGCCCCGGTAGCGCTGAAGGCACTGATTGTCGACTGTGTCTGGTGGCGTTCCAGCGGCAGCAATTCGGCGGACTCTGATACGGATTGCGACATCCTCGAGTATTAGTAGATTGTGCGGGCTATCTCGGCACCTTTTGCTTCAAGTGCGTGGAGATAGCAGGTGGGAACACGATACGCAGTAGCACCAAATAGCAAGTATAGATAGTTTTTAAACAATTTTTCAAACAGGGAGAGCAACAAAAGCAGTACGTGTTTACCACAGCTGTGAGTGTCGGCTAATGTATGGTGCCGCTGCTCACATGATGCTGCCTTGCAGGCGAATTCTTGGCGCACTACCTCCCAGCATTATCTCTTTCTGACACATCAGACCCAACGCCATCGACAAGCCGGTTAGCCAAGACTGCCCAGCATGCGCTATCTACTGCTTTCGCAACTGGTCAGTAAGGCAGGATCACAGCGAATGCAGGTGGTGAGGCACCGCCAATTTATTTTTGCGCCCTTTCAGCAACAAACACCCGCGTGCGCAGCCCCCTTGTTACTACCGCCGTCAGCAGCTGAGTCTTTTCTACACCTGACATGCAGCCCATCCCCATTGCCAAGAGATACAGCGGCTTTGCCCACGGACACATCTTGACTGCCATAAATGCCAGGCGCTTCATGCGACTAGCACCCACCCGTCCACCCCTTGCTGCTCCTGCTGCCAGACACACAGCCCACGCCAATGCCGACCTGCATTGCATTCGAGTCAGCCGAGATTCCCATGGCACGTTCATAGTGGCCAAGACATGCATCGCAAGCAGAGGTGAAGGCGGCGTGTCTTCCACTTGGCGCAAAATGTGGAATCCGGCGGCTGAATGCGATTCGCTGGCAAGCAGCATTTCCCAATATATCGTCAAATGCGGGAACTTGGCAAGCTGGTTTTTGAGGTGCAAGCGCATGGCTCGTGGCGGCGCGAGCCGACAACTCTGCATGTGGTAGAAATAAATTGATGTCAGAACCAGCCCCAGTTGTTCTTCTTCCCGTGGACCACCTGCTGCGGCATGTGCATGCGCAGCATCAGCCGAATCTGTGCTGCGGCCATGCAGATACGCTGACCACATCTGTAATTCATATGCTGCGCATCTTGTTTCGATGGTCTCAAACTCGGAGTAGTTCCTGTTGCAGCTGAGACCTGCCTGCACCTGGGAAATCTGCTGGAATTTGCCGATGCCCTGGCCGTGCAAAAGTTCGCTAACTGCCCATGATTTCTGAACAACCACTGCCCATGCCCAGTCTTCTGCTGCTGATTTGTCGCTGATGCTGCCGAGTGCTTGAGACCAAATTGTCCGCGCCTGCTCCCAGCAGCCTCTATGCGCATAGGTCTTGGCCAATGAGTTTAGCAGCGGCAGGCACACCGGCTTTCGGTCTCGGATCTGGCTGCTTAATTGATCAAAATATTCTGGCCAGTGCGCACCTGACCACTCAACAAGAGCCACGCGGACCATCAGCCGCTGCCGTGTGTCGAGGCTGGCGGCTATACTTAGCTTTTCCAACGTCCGTTGCGTCATACCCCGCCACCACTCTGAAGCCGGCTTGAGCCACGGGCAAGAGAAGCGATACGGCAGAGGTGTCTCCACCAAATCGAGTGTAATGGGCACTGAGATATACGCGAAATGTGGCCGGCCCGTGTCATGTATATTTTCGAATGCCGTCTTTGATTGCCTAGCTACAAGCATTCCGTCAATCCACTCGCCACCTCCGCTTCTACCGCCGCCACCTCCGCCGTCAGTCGAGTCGTTTGGGCTGCCCATTGGCTGCCAAGCAGCAGTTCGCTTAACTGATGGCAGAATCTCCTCATCGCTGGATGTCATTGACCACTCAAAGTCCCTGGACACCCCTTGAAGCTGTCCAGCTTGTTGATCTGAAAACACGCAGGTGTCGGGGCTGATTAGACCAAGGAACCGAAGAAGGTTATCCAGCAATACAGCAAATACATCCTTGTCCCATGGAATATCAGCGAGAAATGGCTTGATGTCCTCGAATAGAGTTACCGCAAAGGGATCAAACATACAGGTGGGCTCGGTGGGAATGTCGAGGGTTGGTATTGTGAGCGGCTCGTTGCACTCTTGCGAATACTCAATCTCCTTGCCTAGCCATTCAGACTCCGGTGCAGTCCCAATGGTACTGGCTTTGGCAAGCGCCATCTCACTGCTGCTGTAGGCCCCTTTGCCAAACGAGCTCCACCCATTTGCGCCAGGAGAACCGATTCGAGGCATTCCACTATCCCAGAATCTCTCAAACGCGTGTTTTCTGTGCCCCAGCGACGCCATTTTCAAATGTTCTGGACAGAACATAAACCATTCGATCACTGCCTGGTACAGGGATGTCGCACGCTCGCAGTACCCGGATTCACGCAGCAGTAAGCATGAGCGGTGTATGATATGGGTAATCAGGATCGATGTCCTCCGCACCACTGCTGTGTCCCGTCGGCTGCTGCACAAAACTCGGGTCAGTACCTGAATCGCATAGTCAAACTTATCTATCATCCAGCTCACGGTGAATCTGTCACTCAAGCCTTGACAGAAGTCCACGTAGCTGAAGATCATGTCAGGATCCTCAGTCTCAGACAGCGCCTTAATCCATTCTGCTAGCAGCTCCGTCGTCTCTAGTACATCCTGGCACCGCTTCAAGTACTCCATCCAAAGCCTTTTAGATTTTGGATTTAGGCCAATCGCTCGCTGGAACATCTCGATCTGCATCCTGGCTATAGCCACATTGCCGCGCATTCGCTTCGTGAATGCTGACATAGCGACCTGCTCTTGCAGCCCAATGTAACTGATCCATGCGTCGACATCATGCTTGTCAGAATTGAGCTTAGCCTCGATTATTGCAATCTTTGCCCGGAGCTGGCCATGAACCGGGTCAGATTGAAGCTGCCGCGGTGCCTTGCGCGGTCTAGGGGTGGCCTTTGCCATGCCATCAAGGCTGCGGAAATCCACCCCGCCCTGGTCACTATCGTAAAGTGACTCTTTGGCTTCGTCCCCAGATGCCGAGTCAGTGAGCGCAATATAACCAGCGTGCAGTTCAGACAGTGTGGCCATTTCTGTCGAAGCTGCTACATAGTCAGTTCCGCAATCTGAGCCCACCCAGGGGTGTCGATATAGCGTAGGGCTCGTGTTGTTGGAGGAGCCAGTTGGACAAAGCGGCTATCACTTTCTGTTTCCACAACACGCATTGATCCTCGGAGACCCAGAACACGTCGGCCGCCATTTCGGCGAAATTTGGGTGTGCCAGATGTGCTGCTAGACTGGTAGCGCAGAAGGTCCCGATCTCCATACCGGTCCATGGTCAGATCGCCGCTTTCCAATAGCCTGTGTAATGCTGATGGCTGGTACGCTTTGCCGCTGGGCTTGTATTTTGTCAAAGAGCTCTGAGAGGAGTGCCGATGCTTATCACGGGTCTTCCGTTTGTCGCGGTGTGACGAAGGGTGTCGCCTCTCCTTACTGGATCTCTTGACCTCGATCGCTGCCACCGACTTTGGTGCGCTGGAGAACGAGGGAAACATGAGC